CATAGAGCGTTTTTGAAGCACACCCGAACAATTAAACCGGAGGAAGATCCCAGTTACAGGCTCACCCATAGAATTTCTCAGCAATACCTCAACACAATCAGACGGTAATATAGGAAGAAAAAACGGCACCATTAGAGATAAGGTAGAATTATACCAAAATCCTTCTCCAGCCTTTTCACCAACACCAGTAACACTCGCAGTCCAAGCAACTCCTTCCCGCACAGCATCGACAGAAGAAGGGTGTAAAACATTAGCATTATTAAGATCCACACACAATTTGAAACATCAGCAATAGTAGAAAACACCCCCACAACCAAATCAGACAGCACACCCGCACCAGGAGGAACAACCCGACAATCAACATCAGCAAAACCACACCCTCCACACAGAGACTGGCAATTAACAAATTTTTCACATCTTAAAGCATTTCGCTCGATTACAACATTACATAATTCGCAGAATTATCAAAAACAGAACGGTAATCGGGTCTTCATTAGAAACAGGGATTGGGAATATCCACGGGGCAGAGAAACCAACCGGGGTAGTTTTGGACGAAAATTTTTGGACATTCTAATTTTTTATGACCTAAAGCTTTGCAGAAGAACAAAAATTAGGCATGCCCTCAAAAATGACTTTCTGGCATACCCAAACTTCTCCGGACCCCAACCAAACAGTATCAGAAAAGGATTTGGATACATCATTTTCAACAAGCACACGCGCAACTGATGGACGGGAACCAGTAGCCGTAGCAGAATCAGTATGAATCGGCCTTCCAAAGACCGAACCCAACCAAAAAGAATACGGGAGGAGAAAAGATGGGGACGTAATCCCGGAAAAGAAAGCCAAACAGGGACAATCGGAGATCTTCGACAAATCTAGAACCGGAGACCACTTTATCACTTTCATAAAACAGCCATAAACCAAGTGACCTGTGAGCAAAACTCTAGCATAATCCATATCATTGCAAGCTTGATTAAAACATTAGCTTATCCAACAAAGTCACCGAAAATCCCCAGATAACTTTAAAATCACGAAAAACCTACGGTTGTAATCTAAGAAGACTTTAAGGGGAAATCTCCCAACCAACGCAAATTCGAAGGGCTTAGCTAGATGCAAAAATTCATCTTCCGAAAACCACAGAGACGGCATTCCCCGATTCGAAGAAATGCGAAATTCTGGAAAAACATTCGAATCGACGGAACCAGAAAGAACATCCTTAAAGGATTTAGGTTGCTTACCCGAAAGGAAACTAGGATCAAGCAATTTTTTCGCCATTAAAAGCTTACCGCCGGCAAGAATGGCGGCGCAAGGGCAGAAGCCCTAAAAGGGCGAAACCCTAGCAGACGGAGAGACGGGAGCGAATTTTTTTGTTCATGTGACATCAGCGAAAATCTTATTTTATATCATTTATTCCTTAGTTATATGTCGTAATAATTTATTCATCTCTTCTAAAAATTAAAATTTTTAAACTATCTTCTAATGCAACTTGAGAATCAGAAATATTCGCTACATTCATAATATTTCCAGCTATAAGTATTTTAATAACAATCTCTTTATTACTAATAATACTTATGTGAAAAGTTTAATCTTTTAATATGTTTATTATCATCCCAATCCTATTGTTGTATAATTGATTTCATTGAGAATAAGTGTCTAAACAACTAACTCTATTCGATTCAACAATTATTTATAACCAGTTTTTTTTCTTTTTTTTTTTTTTGTTTTTGTTTTTTTTTTAAACAATTATTTATAACCAGTGGATTTACTTGAGAACCAAATTTGGTTCAAACCATACTTTTCAGTTAGGTTTTAGTTTCTAGTCTACTTAGCACTCATTTGCTTAATATTATTCTACATGAGATTCTCCAATGAAGAAGAGTGCTTCAGCCTTCATTTACTTTACACCCTCATTAAAGATTCAATCATGTTTTAAAATTGCGCAATGTGAGGCTCGCTTTTGCACAATTCCAGTAAAAAACGCCTCGATGCTTACACCTCGAGTTTTTTTTTTATGAGGCTTACGCCTCAACATGGTTGAGGCCCGCCTCGCCTCACTGGCATGAGGCTTACGCCTCACGCTATATATATTAAAACTTACATAAATCTTGAAAGAAAATGCTTGGCATTGGACTCTATAGGAGAGGAGGAAGGGGAGAGAGCAGTTCATCATAATGATGATTCAAATGAAGAACCCTTAGTGATGACAGTGCTGATGACTTATGAGTTCTTATGTGATATGTCATTGCTATTTATTTTTGGAAATTGGAATTATATGTTAATGAAAAGAATACTGGGATTTGGGAAAGAATTTTGAGTTGAACTGTATTTCATGTTATCTTATTATTGGGATATTTTGATTTCACTTCATATCTTATGCTTTTTTATGTTTTATATTATTCACTCATTAGTATATAAAAAATTTATAATTTTATGTTTACACAATCTTTTGATTTTGAGGCTTACGCCTCGCCTCACGAATGAAAAACGCCTCAATACCCGAATACACAATTTTAAACATTGGATTCAATAATTCTATTTCATCAACAATGTGGCAATCAAAACTAAATTGAACAAAATTAGTATTTCTTTTAATCAATTTTGCCTGCAAGCATGTAAAATAATGTTCAAGTGTCAATTTAAAATAACGAAACTTATGTATTTACGACAAGTTTATGAAGGATATATTTGAATATTTGAATCCTCCATCGAAGCTTTTGAAATAGAATTTTTATGAACTTTTAGGTTTTGGATTAGGTCAATTTTTAGTTACGTTATTAGTAGAATTGAGAATTGACCATTATCTCAATTATGTGTATTTTAAGAATCATATCCAATCTATAAAATGCGAGGACCGAGCCCAATTAGTCAGTTGATTTGAGATAGGTTTTTTATTTTTTTTTTCTCTTCAGGTCATTGGGCATTGTTGCATACCCCTATAGTTAACTTTCCAACATAAATGATTAGTTTAATAAGTTATGAGATACTGGAAGGTTTATTTTGGTTTACTTTTATGACTAGGGTTGCTATTTTCCTTCTTTTTTTAGGTTTCCCATTTCATTCTTGTTCATCCTTCCATTTCTTGTAAGCCAGGTCTTATCATCTTTAAAAGGGCTGCATCTTTCAATTCGAAACTAAAAAAGGGAAAGAATAACAAGTGGGATTTGATGCGGACACCTTTAAGCCCTCTCGCCATGTATGCTACTAGCAGATTTCCATTATGTTTGTTCTGACCTCAGCTAGACCAATATATGTTGAGTCATTTGAAATAAAAGAGCAAAAAGGATTGTTAATGTGATCTAGTGTCTGATAGCTTTTTGTCTTCATGCCAGGTCCTATGTATATGGAAACCATCACATATGCATTGCACTCTCCTGTCATACTTTGCCGGTGATCGTTATTTAATTGCTATAAATAATTAATTGCCATAATATGGTTCAAGCATTTTTGCTTTGCGCTATTAGGCCTGTTGTGTGATAGAAAAATACCCCTCAAACTTAAGGAAAAGTTCTATTAGATAGTTGTGAGACCTACAATAATTTATGGTGTAGAATTTTGGCTATTAAAAGAGAAGCATAAAATTAAATTAAGTGTTGCAAAGATGAGGATGCTCAGGTGGATGAGTTGTTTTACTCTTAGAGATAGATTACAAAACAAATATTTACATGAAACTGTTGGAGTAGCTCCAGTGGCAGATATGATTAGAGAGAGTCTTAGATGGTTTGATCACATAAAATATCAGCCTTCCAATGACCTGGTTTAGAGAGTAGATGTTTTAGATCTGGTCTATATTAAGAAAGATAGAGGCATACTTAAAAAAAATTGGTTGATATGATTAGAGAGAACCGCCCTAGATGGTTTGGTCACAGAAATCATCGGTCTTCCGATGACCCGGTTAGGAGAGTAGATATATGAGGTAGACCTAAAAAAAATTGGTTAGAAAAATATTAGAAATGACCTTTTTTATTAGATTTAAATGAGTGTTTGATTATTAATAGGATACAATGGAGAAAAATGATTCATGTAGGTGACCCTATGTAGTAGGAATATGACTTGATGATGATGTTGTTGTTTTCCAAGCATGATGTTTTGAGAACCCAGTCGCTGCAAGAGCATTTGAAATTATTTTGGTTTCCTCAATTTGCTTTTGCTAATACTTCTTCTGAGGTCTGGAGTGATTGTATATGGAGGATTATACAATTGATACCATAAGACAGTACGCTGAGATTTTACAATTTTGGTTTTTAATAATTCAAGATAGTGTGCACTCAGATTTGCATGCAGTGAAGGAATTTATTGAATCTGTAGCTTTTCTTATTCTGTTGTGAGCTATAATTTCTTATTTGTGGAATCTGAACTGTTTGTTTAGTTTTTCTTTGATGGTAAAACAGGTTTGAACTGGACTATCTATATATCCCTAGTGGGCCTCTTTACTGTCTTAGTTTTCAATATATATGGCATTTGGCTGTATTGTGCATTGGAGATGAGCTACGGTGTCTGATGTTGTCTAATGGTGAAAGTAGGGAAGTGTTTGTCACTTAAGAAGTTCCTTGTTTTTAAAAATATGGATAAAGATAGATAGTACTTGTATCACCATCAATTTGTATTATGCATTGGAGATGAGGCCGGGAGTCTGATGATTGTCTAATGGTGAAATGGAGTGGTCGCCACATATGCAGTTTTTTGTTTTTAAAATTAAGAGTTGGATAAAAAACAAAGTAATTGGCTTCACTATCAATTTGTAACCAGTAATTAGCAATCATTGATGCTTGATTTTTTCAAGATATGTAGATTGGTCCTGTTGTATTGGCCCAGTGGGGCTTTTTTAGTCTATAAATTAATTGTTTAGCTGCCTGTCTAAAATACTGCATTACTGGTGTGTACATTTCAGGGTTTCTTCTATTTTATGCCATGTGATGAAGTTTAATTTCTCTATAATATTTTGTAGTCGATCAGTTTATTAAATTTAAGTGTTTTTTTTTCCTCCCTTTCTGTTCCTACAGATGGTGCTGGCGGTAAAGGAACATGGGGTAAGCTCCTTGATACTGGCTCGGCTGCACCCCTTGATCGTAATGATCCAAATTATGACAGTGGTGAGGTACTATGTTCTACCTGTCCCTAGACCTTTTGAATCTATTATTTGTGCTTTTTTTTTTACTTGTGCATTTCTTGCCATAGTATTCGGCAATTGAACAATTGCTCAATCCAAGGCCCACTGTTAATGATGGGTTAATAAAAAATACTGCCGGATATTATTTTGTATACCTACCTCGAATTGGCTGTAAATTTTTTTTAGGGTATTTTTTTTTGGAAGTTCAATATTCCTTTTATGCAGAAAATGGTTGCATGTCAAGGATTAAAAAACTATGGCATATATATTATACTAAAAAAAGCTACTCAAAATTGTGCACAAGCCTGTTGAACTTTGGTTGCAGTCGTATTATGTTATTGTCAAATCCTAGGATTACTTCTCTCTGGTGACAAAGAGGAAATGTTTAGTGGCCCGGGCTTGGCTATGGCCCACTTGGTCTGTTTGGTTCCTCATCAGAGTGGCCAACATGAATATCCTTTTATAAAATGCTGGAGATCCAATGATATGACCCACCCAGCCTAGAGTTTGTCACCAGGTCAGGCTTGGTTATAATACCATGGTTTTTGTTGTTTTGTGGCTCGTGGATATAATATAATTGATTAGTAAATGCTACTACCGGTACAAATGAACTTCAAACCTTCTAATGTTGCTCATGGCTATAGAGATGATATGGTGGAGTTCTAAGGTGTCCCTTAAATTATTTTATTTGGTAGTCTCCAGGCTCAACCAGAATTTAGAGGTTGTGTCTTAGGTGTTTACGTTTTTCTTTTATTAATTGATATTTGAACATCATTATCATTGTTATCGTCATTAGCTTTATCCCAACTCCTTGACGTTGTATGCTACAGGAGCCTTATCAATTAATGGGTGCAACTGTGTCGTCTCCAATTGATGATTATAAAAAGGCTGTGGCACCTATCATCGAGGAGTATTTCACCACAGGAGACGTGGAGCTGGCAGCTTCTGATCTCAGAGATCTTGACTTGGATGATTATCATCATTATTTTATTAAGAAACTGATTTCTATGGCAATGGATAGGCATGCGAAGGAGAAGGAAATGGCATCAGTTTTGCTTTCAGCTTTATATGCTGATGTTATTAGTGCAAGCCAGATTAGCCATGGTTTTATCATACTTCTGGAGTCGGCAGAGGATTTGGCAGTCGACATACTTGATGCAGTTGAAGTCTTGGCTCTTTTTGTTGCCCGAGCTGTTGTTGATGATATTATACCTCCTGCATTTCTCAATAGAGCGAAAAAAATGCTTCCTGAAAATTCTAAGGGTCTTCAGGTTATTGAGACTGCTGAAAAGAGCTATCTTTCAGCTCCTCATCATGCAGAGTTAGTGGAGCGCAAATGGGGAGGTAGCACCCACCTCACTGTTGACGAGGTGAAAAAGAAAATATCATATCTATTGAGAGAATACATTGAAAGTGGAGATACAGCAGAGGCCTGCCGGTGCATCAGGGAATTAGGTGTCTCATTCTTCCACCATGAGGTTGTTAAACGGGCTGTTACCCTTGCCATGGAGACACCAGCATCTCAACCTCTTATCTTCAAACTTTTGGAAGAAGCTGCTGAAGAAGGTCTAATAAGCTCTAGTCAGATGATTAAAGGATTCTATCGTCTTGCTGAGAGCCTTGATGACTTGACTCTTGATATTCCTTCTGCCCAAGCTATTTTCCAGCAACTTGTACCAAAAGCAATTTCTCAAGGTTGGCTTGACCCTTCCTTCAAGTTCCCTGACGCTGATAAGGACTCCAGTGATGTAGAAGATGAGAAGATAAAACGATTTAAGGAAGAATCTGTAACCATTATTCATGAGTATTTCCTATCAGATGATATACCAGAACTTATTAGAAGCCTTGAAGATCTTGCTGCTCCACAGTACTATCCTATTTTCATCAAGAAACTGATCACAATTGCATTGGACAGGAAGAACAGGGAGAAGGAGATGGCATCTGTTCTACTATCAGCCCTAGCGATGGAGATTCTTTCTACAGCCGACATTGTGGATGGTTTCGTAATGCTCCTTGAGTCAGCAGAAGATACAGCACTTGATATTTTGGATGCCTCAGATGAACTAGCTCTTTTTCTTGCTAGGGCCGTCATTGATGATGTCTTGGCTCCACTAAACCTGGAGGAGATAAAGAGCAAACTTCTACCAAACTGTAGTGGCAGCGAAACTGTTCACAGTGCCCGTTCTCTTGCTTCAGCCCGTCATGCTGGTGAAAGACTACTGAGGTGCTGGGGTGGTGGTACTGGATGGGCGGTAGAGGATGCAAAAGACAAGATCACAAAACTTCTGGAGGAGTTTGAGAGCGGAGGTGATATGGGAGAGGCTTGCCAATGTATCCGCGAACTTGGGATGCCATTCTTCAATCATGAAGTGGTGAAAAAAGCATTGGTTATGGCAATGGAGAAGAAAAATGACAGGCTCTTGGATCTACTTCAGGAATGCTTTGGAGAAGGCTTGATCACTATCAATCAGATGTCCAAGGGCTTCTCTAGGGTCAAGGATGGTCTTGATGATCTAGCTCTTGATATCCCGAATGCCATGGAGAAGTACATATCTTACCAGGATTATGCAAAAAAGAATGGCTGGCTGTCATCATCCTTCGACCAGCTTCCCCCATTCGATGCTTCTACAACACTGTAGAAGCTAGAATATCAAACAAATAGCAATGCCCTCAAGCAGATTATTTCTGCGCTGTTTGTTTCTATCAATGGGCACATTGCTATTCCTTTACTGTGAGAGGCTGCAGTTGGCATCCGCAGGAGTAAAAAATATAGCTGTTTTTGAGCTTTGGCTTTGGGAAAAGCTTTGGATTTGTTTTCAGGGGAAGTGAATCTTTGTTCGAGCTTCCGCTTTGAGTTTGTTATGTTTACTTGCATGAAACATAGTTCAGACATTTTAGTTTTGCTTTTTTTTCTCAATGCCCAGATGTTCTCTGTTCTTCGTTTTTAGGAAATGAAACTTAACTGGCATAATCTGTGCAGGCATGGTGGGCCTTTTATGTTTTAGTCACTGATCAATGCATCGTAACATCTGTTACTTTAGGGGACGATGGTGGATTGGTCACAAAACATCCCCTGTAGTTCAGCTTCTTCTCACATTAACTTTGATGCTTCTTGTCTTTTGGCTGTTAAACTCGTGTCATGGTTAATCATAACCAGTTAATGGCTTTCGGATACACTATTGTTAGATTTTCTTCTCAGATTTGCGTCGTTTTTGTTCCATTATACAGCTTTCATGATATTGTTAGGATGGGGGTTTTAAAATTAGGTGGTTGACCCTCGACCATAAATTTAAACTTTTTTAGTTGAAAGTTAATTTAATCACCATCGTAGTTTACCTGATTTTGATTTTCTTGTGATTTATATATTTTCTCACTAATTCATATGATTGAGGTTTTATTTGGAATGACTTTCTTATTATTTTTTAAAGCAATTTTTTAGTATAAAAAAATTAAAATTTTTTATTAGAATGTTTCTTTAAAAAGTAGTAAGAAAAGTCGTGCCAAATAAAGCCGGAGTGAATTTTGGTTTTTATTTTTGATAATTTTAAAAATATTTATTTGAAGAAGGGTGATTATTATTAGCATAGAGTTCTTTTATGTGAAAATTATTTAGATATGTGTGTTTAGTTTAGCTTCAGATTAAATGATTGCAAAATATATTGATGTCTAAATAGAAGCTTCCTTTTTTTTTTTTGGGTAGGAAATGGCTTTCACATTGGTTTGGATAACACCTTTCATAAAAAGGTTTAGCTTGAATAGTTTAGTTGGTCTTAAGATTTAAAATTGATTTTAATTTTTTGCTTTTTTTATCATAATAATTAGGATCTGATATAAAGAGGAATTGAGGTTTAAAACGTGAAATGTAGTGGGGACTAAATAATAAATTCTAATATAAATTTGGCCTCTGGCTGAGAGTTTAATGGAAGTTTACTTGAACATTTAGTAGCTTTAGGTGAAATTTCCGGATGTCATGCAAATGCAAAACCTTATCATGATGAGATTGGGTGTATTTTGGTTCCCTAACATCATCTTGTACCCTCTTTTATTTGTTGAACTTCATATGTTTAAAGTGTTTTCTTACTATTCTTAAAGCATTTGTTATTATTTTGAGAATTGGTTTTATTTATTTCACTTTTACAATTATTTTTTTCTCTAATATTTGATATCATAGCCTAATAAAATATGATTGTAATCAAGCATGAGATTGAGAAATTTGATGCCTCAAAGAGCTTGGGATGTCTAGTTCTATTCAGTCAAAACGTTTATCATGAGTGCATGAGGAGTATTATCATCTCCAATAGGGTTGAAATGAATCCAACATGGGTATGTCAATTTCGAGATGATGATGAGAGTTCAACTTCTAAGGGGGTCATAATATTTATTAAAATTTTATCTATGTTCTTCTAAGGGGTAAAAATTATATATATATTTATGTTTATTATTAAAGTTAATAAGAAAACGACTATAACTTTTTCACTTGGTCGGGGTGATTGTTGAGATTGGAATGACCTACTCGAGGCGAGTTCTCTTGTAGTTTTATGAGATTTTTTAGATGAGACGTAGCAGATTGAGTTAATTTTGCCAAAGCCATGCCAACTTACATGAATTTGGATGACTTGACTTGTTTCTTGCTATTTGGATGCACATTTTTTTCCATTTTTCTTATATTTTTTGAAATATGGTTCTCTAAACTGAATATCTACTTGATGAAGTCATCCACCAAACTTATTAGAAGTCAATAGCTTGACATGTAGTGATGGTCAAGTTGCATTTTCCCTTATACATGAAGTCGTCATCTTGAGCTCTTATTAGGGTCGACTTCATGGATCATACTCACCTAGCTGGGATGAGTGCTGAGATTGGAGTTGTTTGCTTGAGGCGAGTTCTCTTGTAGACTGACGTGTTTCTTTTGAGCTAAGACCTGATAGGCTAAGTTAACTTGGTTTGAAGTATATCGATCAATTTAACTTGAACTCAGATAACTTGACTTGAACCCAGCTTTCTGGACCACAATATAAGTTATTCAGCTTTTTGACCATAATGAATGTCGAGCCAGGGACTTCTAAGGATCTTTCTCTGAAGACTTCATCAAGTCAGACATTTTGATTTGACAATAAAATTCGGAAGATGTAAAAGTTTCGATAAGCTAATGCATATCCAAATATCAAGAAAATTGAGTTCAAGTAAAATTGGCTCAATTCAAGTTACGTTGACACAATTGAACCTAAGTTGATCTCAACTCAAAAGAAACTTGTCACACAACAAGAGGACCAACCTAAAAGTTGTTAAATACAATCTCAAAACTCACCTCGAGAAAATTAGTATGATCTATGAAGTTTTTCCTAATGACTATTGAATGGGATGACTATCTTTACAAAGAAATTATTGATTAACTATTTGACTATTTTACCATCAAAATATACGCCAAGTTAGAATTTCCTAGGAACTTGATAAACAACATCATCAACTCAAATATGTTTCTCCTTTTTTGTATAACCATGTATGTAGCCAATTTTTGAATGGTCAAACTTCAACCCAATTCAATAAATAGAGAGTCTACTCGTGACCATTTTTTCTCGCTCTATTTTTCTGTTCGCTTTTCTTAGTATGATTGGGCGTGATTCGAGGATAGTTTTTTGATTTGCATATTGCTTATGAAAGTTCACTGCAAAATAAATTGATAGCCAAAATTTTCAAAATAAATATTGAATCCCAAGCTTCTTGATTGATAGCTAAAAAATTTAATCAAGAGATCAAGATGAGCTAAATAGTCTTAAAAAACTGATTATCCTTCATTTCAAATAGTTTTATATGAAGAAAGAACTTCAATTCAAATAATTTTATATGAAAAAAGAAATTTACACCAAGAACAAATAAGTATGTTATTTAGCTAATGTAAAGTCAAATTTATCTTCTAATATGTGTTACCGACATGCATGCCGACCACTGCGGAGCAGTTGCTGGATGCTGCACTATGGCTATGCCGCTCCCTCGGCTCGTAGAACTCCCCCTCGCTTTCAAAATCCTTCCTTTTCGTTCCTCACCTCCTCCCATTCCTCGTCTCCCCACCCTTTCTTCTCTCCGGCTTCTCCTTCGCCGCTCCAAAACCCTAACTCTTCCCCTTTTCTCTGCCGCCCAAGACGCCATTTCCGTTCCACAGGATCCGATCTTCCTACGTCACCTGCAACGTATAGACGAAGATCAACTTGAGGACAAGAACTACGATGAGGATTTCGAAGAAGGCCTAGTGGACGAGGATGATTTGGATTTGGATCCTATTCGCAGTTTCTTCAAATCCCGCAAGCCAGTCCCAGACCCTAAGCACGAAGGAGGCAGGGCCTGGCACATAGCGGACATAGATCCTGCCGAAGCTAGCCTTCTCGATGAGGAAGAGCAAACCATTGAATTGGAGTCTGCGGCTCCACTTGGCCTTGCTGAGGATGGCGTAGTAGGAGATATCCTTCGAATTGCGCGGAACCTCCCCGAGAATTCTGCATTGGGAGATTTCTTGGATTCGTTTGTCGGGAAGATTGGGGAGAGTGAATGTATAGAGCTTTTGGCGAGGATGGGGGAGGATGGCCTTGCTTGGAGCTGCTTGTACCTGTTCGAATGGATGCGGTTGCAGGAGCCGTCCCTAGTGACCTCAAGGGCATGCTCTGTTGTCTTTCCAGTTTTGGGAAAGGCCGGAATGGGGGAGAAGCTGATGATTCTCTTTGAGAATTTGCCACGGGCAAAGCAGTTTAGAGATGTTAGGCTATATAATGCTGCAATTTCTGGTCTGTCATGCTGCGGCAGGTAAGATACAGCTTTAAAATAGCTGCACTTTCTTCTGCATTGCATCTGCCTGTTTGAGAATCTTTGGAAATAATAATAAAATCAAGCAAGCACGGTTTTTAGAACTTCGTTATTGTTGTCATGTGAATCATGCTTCTGTTCTACTAAGTTGCATATGGGCTATAGTGTTAAGGTTTCAAGCTGTTCACTAGCTGAATTTAAAGTTGGGCCTGAAATAAATTATGTATTTAAGGATAAACATGACGATATTTGTATCCAAAAATTGAAGGAAAACCTTAGCTCCTGAAGACTAGATAGCGAGGCACATTGATGAAAAACTCTACTCATAGTCAAAAGTCATCGGAAGATTCTGAGTGGTACGGCACGTCGATTACTTTGAGTTTTAAATTTCAATCAGTTTTTGGAGTCAATTGGAGTGTATAGTTATATGCCTACGATGTTATCCTACTCAAACTGTTTTTATCCTTTCCTATTGATTGGTTGAGGTTGCTCTGTATTTACTCTATTGATTGTTGTATCCTGTCCTATTTCTGCCTGTTCATTGTGACTCTAGATTAGATATATGTGACCTATAATCCACGAAATTGGGACTGGTCAATGATAGATAGGATACTTTGACATTAATTCCGAGGAATGGAAACTTAAGGAATTGCCCTATGAAAGAGACCACGCTTATATTTTCCCAAGAAACTAAAATAATTTGCTTGGATTGGTGATGGGGCCTTATACTAGGTGAAATCCTCATTGAATGCCTAATCGCGGGAAGGATTTCTTGAAGGTTGATGATAGGAATTTTACCCATTAGATGGAGGGATGCCTTCAAACTCCTCATCTTATTTAAACACATGACTTTTAGTCTCAATGTCGTGCAATATAGGCTGGTCGATAGGAAGCTAAAGATGCACATGAGTTTCAATAATGTAATGAAAATAATGCAATTATGGTAATTTGTAAGTCTACATGCTGATCCAACTTAAGTCATGCATTGTCTATGCATCAATAAGGTTTGGTTGACTAAGTTCAAGTCATATGACTTGAAGGTGTCACATAAGTTCATATAAGTGTGTCACACATCTATGTTCAAGCTATAGCATAACCATGTTTATTTTTATATATATTTTTTTCTTAAGTAGAAAAGTTGGCTACTGGTCAAATGAATAAACAAGTTTAAATTGATTTTAAAATTTAAAATATTCTTAGGATGCCTAGGCATAATGTCCATAAGGAGAAAAAGTGCACACAAGCAAGTAGTAATAATAAGTTTTTATAAATATCAAGTTAGGTATAAAAATGCAAAAAATAAAGGGCATGTGAGACAAGAAGATGTTAGGAAATGCTTTTATAAATTTAATACTTCTTGGCTGAAATTAAATTTCAGCAGCCCAAACACAATCTACAAGAAGAATTACAAGGAATAACTAGCGCAAAACTTTTTAATTGATCAAATAAGTAAAAAACAAACAAATAAGATACAATGGATCTTCTATTGGAGAGGAAGATCCTACTCTCCCAAATACCTATCCGCGGGCTAGTGGCCAAACACCCTAAGAGCAATCTAATTTTAGCAAAACATACATAAAAAAATCTAACCCTAGGGTAAACAATATAATTAAAGTATACAAAATGTAATCAAGGCCAAAATATCCCTCCCCTTTTTCTTCTCTCCTAATCGACCCCCACCCTTTTGAATTTTCCTACCAAAACAGGCGGACGCTTGTTCCACTCAATTAGGTGGAATTTTGTTCTGTCTCAAACAGGCGGAAGCCTATCCATGAGGACCGGCTAAGCTGGGCCCTCCTGGACCGGTTTAATAATACCCCCGCTTTATATGCAAGGTGGACATGTGGCTCCCTCCTTAACGTCCTCGTCATCACAAACGATGAGAACCTGAAGGGTTCGATCCTTGCACTTGTGATTCGGTGTATACCTATTCTTACATTTGAAACACAACCCTTTCAGCCTCTTCTCATATAACTCTATTTCTATGAGCTTCTTGAAGTTTTTTTTCCAAGCCTCCCTCCTATAGTCTTCTTCTTCAAGGTTTCCATAAGAATATCCAGTGTTGGATCCTTGGGTGTCAAAAGGGTGGTGGCTATCCTGTACGAACCTCCTGAGCTGCTGCCTCCAGTCCCTTTCTTCAGGTGCCTCTGATCCTCCACTAACTGAACTAGCTCCCAAATCATGAGACCTCATCACTCTAACTGTATCCCCAATCTCTAGTTTGAGCCCTTCCATAGTTCCCCTCCAATACAGTCTTCGGAAGCTAGCCCAGTTGGCTTACCTGGTGTTCAAACTGCTTACGGTACTCCACCACTATCCCCTTCTGCGTTAGAGCAAAGAACTGCTCATGGGAGTCCCCTCCCTTGCTGGTTTGAAAACGTTCTGACAAGTAGTCCTTAAACTCCCTCTAGGTCCGTATGGGCTGCCTTGTACCCCTCCACTAGTAGCATGCTAAAGCTTTCCCCTCCAAGCACATCCCAACCGCCATCAGTCGCTCCTCATTTGTCAACCTATTGATTGTAAAGTACCTTTCCACCATGTAGATATACTCACGTGCATTCTCTCTCTCAAAAATATGTATCTTAAACTTCCTCACCCTCGGATCTCTTCCGCCCTCTATTTCCTCTGTAATTTCCATTCTCCAAGGGGGTGATTCTTCCCAAGTGTGCCAATCATCTCTTCTGCGCTCGTACTCAAACCTTTCGTCAAAATCCCACCTTCTTCCTTCAAATTCAACGCTCCTTTGATCATAGTTAGCCCTTTTCCTTTCAAATTCAGCTCCTCTCCTTTCAAACTCTACATCTTTCTTTTCAAATTCCGCCCCTACCCTTTCAAATTCAACGCTCCTTTGATCATAATCAACCCCCTTCTTTTCATATTCAATGTCCCTTTGCTCATGCCCCACCCCCCAACGCCTCTCTCCATATCTTCTACCTGACTCCTCCTAGGAATAGGCTCTAGGGGAAGCATTCTCTCTTCTCCTTCCAAAATCTCACCCTCCTGATCTTCCCTTCGCTTTATCAGATTAGGTTTTTCCCCACTTACTTGGTGGTCGGCGGTTTCCCTCGCCTCTGCCGACGCCGTTTTGGTTTGACCCTCGAGAAGCTTCTTTAACATCTCCTTTAGGATGAAAAATTTCTCCTCAATCTACTCGTGGACGGCTGAATTTTGACTTTTAAAATCTGAAACTTGAGCTTGAAGATTTGAAATTTTTGATTTCAATCGTTTGATCTTCCCCTCCAACACTTCTACCTTTATTTCCTGACATAGGTAGCAGGATCTAGGCTCCAAACTGCAAAAACGGCAAAAAAACACAGCGGTTATGGTCTTCAAACAGGAAAAATCAGCAAGATCAAAAAGGGAAACACAACAGAAATTAGCAAGGAAGTTCTATATTTCAGACAAGGGCACCTCTCTGATACCAATTTGTTATGAAGTGCTCGTAGAAATTCAGTACTTCTTGGCTGAAATTTAATTTCAGCATCCCAAACACAATCCACAAGAAGAATCATAAGGAATAACTAGAGCAAAACTTTTTAAATTGATGAAATAGGGAAGACAATGAACAAGATACAATTGATCTTCTACTGGAGAGGAAGATCCGACTCTCCCAAAAACCTTAGCCGCCGGCTACAGCCCAAACACCCTAAGAGCAATCTAATTTCAACAAAACATACATAAAAAAATCAAGCCCAAGGGTAAACAATCTATTTAAAGCATACAAAATGTAGCACCCAATTCTTAAACACCCAAAATAGGAAGTTATGCCACCACCAACACCACTGTTTGCTGCAACTATTCCTTATCCTCCACCAACTATACCAGGATCATCTCCAGGGGCGGAACCAGCCCTAATTTTCAGGGGGGGCAAACTTATAATGTATATATGTCGGAGGTCCAAGGGGGCAGCACTCCCTGACAGGGTTCGACCGCTGTTTTTAGGCCGGGGGGGGGGGGGGATTGGGGGGGGGGGGGAATTGCCTAAAAAAACTCTTGTAATAAAGGCTAAAAAATGAATGAAGCTGGATGGATAAATTACCTAAATTACCATTTGATATATCCTGTGTAAAAATTGTTTTTTTTTAAATGGCCAATGCAATCTATTGTGCCTATTCATAAATAATAAATTGGGGGCATTTCTTGAAAAGAACTCAAACTTACAAAGAAAACTCTAGACCGGCAAAATTTATGGTGGAGGCACCAGAGTTTTGGATCTTAATTTTTTCGACCATTATCTCTGATACAATATTCAGAGAATATTTTGAAACAAAATATTTGTCATACATGCTTAAAAACATCCATTTTCGAGCCCCAACTGAAACTGCATAGTAACAAATTGAAGGCAGTAGCCAGAATGGTCGAAGACGATAACAAGAAAGGCCTAAACTGAAATAAAATTGATGGAAATTTGTCATTCATCTTAAAACTCAAGATTAACTTAATCTGGCATTGTTCATCATATTGAAATGAACATATATCCTTTATATTAAATGATTCATGAGAAGAAAATAAATCAATCTCTGACCTAAAACTTTTTTATTATTTGATCCTTTATTTATTGGGCGATTTAAATATTATAAATAACTGAAGAAAAATTGAATAAGCAGTTGCCACCGTGCAAACATTGTTGTGTGGCTAGAGAACCGTAAGGCAAAAATCAAATCATTTGGAAACGAATCAGTCTGGAGCAAAAATCTGAAGCAAAATCGCAAAAGAGAAAAAAGAACTTGGCAACGAAGTGGAGCCGAACTGTCGAATGGCTGGCTCGTGGATGATCGTCGCGCGGAGAAGAAACCTCGAGTTGGCGATTGCGAGTCACATGATTCCTGTGCCGGCTGCCGCGCGAACAAGAAGGGTGAGCGACTGAGCGGCTTATTAGGGCAAAAAGGGGGCAAAAGTAAAAATTTAGGGGGGGCAAATTACTTAAATACCCTAAGCTTTAATTAAAATTTTATTTTTGAGAGGGGGCAATTGCCCCCCCTGAGTACAATATAGTTCCGCCAGTGATCATCTCTCTTAGGATTCAAGGAAGAATACAAGGTAGGAAGAGACATTAGGATGACCAATGAATGAAAGATTATCCTCTTTAGAAGGAGGTTTGGGGGGGGGGGGGGGCTTCTTGCACCTGCGACTGAACCTCTGCCCAAGACGGAGCCTTCCTCACACAAAAATGCTCCAGCTCTACCCAAATTCTGCTCAAATCCTTTGCATGCTATGCATTGTTGGAAATCCTACAAATGACGCCGAATTCATATGCTCATCCGGGGGGGAGGGGGTGCACATTTGTTGAAAAATCTGCCCAAATTTTGCTCAAATCCTATACCTGCTATGCATTGTTGGAAATTCTGCAAACGACGCCGAATTCAGATGCTCATCCCCGCGTGTGCAAATCCACCGCGATCCTTACTCTTGTTTGAATCGTTAAAACAAAGGAGAAAACAAGACATTTCATTTTTTTGTTCTACCGCTCACAAGCTACCAACCTCACGGCCTCCTTCTACAGTTCGATCCTGCAAGCATTTGATCCTTCTTGCACCTGCGACTGAACCTCTGCCCAAGACGGAGCCTTCCTCACACAAAAATGCTCCAGCTCTCGTTTCTTCCCTATTCAAACCACACTTCCTGCGAAAGCACTCGACCAAGCCTCCCGCCGATCTCTTTTGATCCTCCCTACCACATGCGAGCAGTTGCTGTGTCGACCCTCCATTTGTTGAAAAATCTACCCAAATTCTGCTCAAATCCTTTGCCTGCTATGCATTGTTGGAAATCCTACAAATGACGTTAAAGATCCTTACTCTTGTTTGAATCGTTAAAACAAAGGAGAAAACAAGACATTTCATTTTTTTGTTCTCCCGCTCACAAGCTACCAACCTCACGGCCTCCTTCTACTGTTCGATCCTGCAAGCATTTGATCCTTCTTGCACCTGCGATTGAACCTCTGCCCAAGACGGAGCCTTCCTCACACAAAAATGCTCCAGCTCTCATTTCTTCCCTATTCGAACCACACTTCCTGCGAAAGCACTCGACCAAGCCTCTCGCCGATCTCTTTTGATCCTCCCTACCACACGCGAGCAGTTGCTGTGTCGACCCTCCGTCTGTGAGCCGAATTCGGCATCGACACTCAACCGAGCCGTATCCCACAAGCTTCCCTCTACCCAATACACCTCTGATCGGACTAACCCCACTGCCCTCCTCCCTCTGTCTCTGTCCGAACCTAACATAAGCCGAACCAGGTGCGAACATCAATCGACCGAACCCGTCGACTGCCGAACGCCATAGCCCGATGCCAGCTCCTGCTCGATCGGACCCCCATTCGAATCTCCCCAACCCCAACTCAGCCTGTTTACTCCTTCTGATTCCCTCTTCTTGTTCATGACCGAACCATCTTTTGTGACATATCCCAACCTTCCGATCTCCACTCAGGTTCCTTCTCGCACTCGACCAGATCCTCTCAGCTCTCTTCCATAGCCATTCGACCTTTGTCTATGTCCGAGCCTAGTAGAAGCCGAACTAGGCGCGAACATCAATTGACCGACCTTGTCTATTCGCCTCTTCCAGTTTCATTCGATTCTAAACCTTCTACTACCGAACGCCAACTCTTGCTCGATCGCTCCCCCCCCCCCCATTTGAATCTCCCCAGCCACAACTCAGCCTGTTTACACCTTCTGATTCCCTCTTCCTATTCACAACCGAACCATCTTCTGCAACAGATCCCAACCTTCCGATCTCCACTCCCGTTCCTTCTCGCACCCGACCAAATCCTCTCAGTTTTCTTCCACAGCCATCCGACCTCTCAGCTCGTTCGATCCCACTAACTTTTTCCCCAATACTCCTCACCCACTACCTCTCACACTACAACAATCATAAACTCAAACAACCCACATAAACTTGCAATCCAAACAGTTCCTTTACTCCAAACCAATCCCTGCTCACTATGTCGAGCTCCCCTCCAACCTCCAGTAGTTGAACCGAGCTTCACTCACAAAGCCACACACTCAATTGCTACTGTTATCATCTATTCATCTCTGTTCTCCCACTGAGGACATCACTCACACCACCAATCATCCCACTGCCCTCTGGTGCAACCTAAGTTTTTAAAAATTTTATGAAGAACACTTAGGAAATCAAATAGGGAAAACTTTCTTTCAATAACTCATAAACATCCACAAAACAAAACTTAAAGAAGAAACAAGTCTTTTAGAAAACTTTTGTGAAATCCGAAGGGAAAACAAATAAGAAAAGGTAATATAAAGCTACCCTTAGAGCAACCAACAAGTGGTCACCTCACCTGCAAAGTCTTATAAAATTTAGGATAGGTGCTCAAAGAAAGATCTAACCCGGAATCTAGCACTGAATCGATCCAGCACAAGTCCACCCTCCGACAAATACCAACCAATACATGTCAGCAGACACCACCAAGCTCACAAGAGAAGAAGGATACAGTTGGACTGTTACCGTGGAAATAGAAGAAGAGGAAGAAGACCAAGACGAAGTATAAGAGGAGGCGAATAGGAGATTAGCTTGCAAGCTAAAAACCCGCAGGTTTATATGTAAACACTTCATCCAAAAATTTTCTACAATAACATCAAACAACTCCCATATATAGGTAAAAAATGAGTCCAATAGCGCCAACATTTCATAGGAAATAGCAAAGGGAGGGGAATAGACAGCATGGAGAACCAAACAGCCAGAAAAGTAAACAGATTACCAAATTCTTCCTAGGAAACCAGCATAAAACCAACATTCACTAACCAAAATCTTCATATGAAATCAATAGAAAACCAACCACCACCAAATCATGAAAGGGTGGGAAATAGACAGCAAGATAGGAGAAAACTGAAGCAGCACACAGCAGGGAATGCCGTGCAAAAAAAGGGGGAACGGACAACAACCGAAGCAACACACAACAATGAAAAGATTAAGCCGATCAAGTATTAAATTGTCTGGTTAAAGCATTTAGCTTATTTATGGTGATGATTCTTGGGAATTAATGTCAATCGTAGAAATAATTTGATCATCCAACTGGTCTATCTTGTCAATGCCTAGTAAGGGATAAAACTTATTAGGGCAATGGTGTTGAGGTCCAAAATTGTCATTACAGTTAAAACAAAGTTCTTTATCATGACGAAATTGAATTTCCGTATGTGAGAGTGTTAGATAGGGAGGGAAAGAGGTCTAAATGGTTGAGCCAACAATGGTGGAATGTGAGGAGGGGTTTGGCTGAGAGGTGATTGAGTGGTGGGATGTGGGTTTGTTGGCGATAAGGTTTCAAAATATTTTTCGCCAATGCGAGGAAGGAAATACAAAGAAATGTTGAAATTTGGATTCGTGATGGCAAGCTAATTCCATGGCATTTAAGAGAGTAATAGATTTGTTTGAAAAGTTCTCTACGTAATTCTTGTTTGAGACAAAAAAATAAAATAACTAATAAGAGTATATTTAGATAGATTAGGAACCTTGAAAGCAAGCTTTTCAAAAGTTGTTTGCTATTCAAGAATAAAAGGTTATTAGGAAAAATTAGAGATATTGCCCTATAAATCTTCGTTAGAAGAGATATCAAAGCATTTTTATAATGATAGCTTGACTTTGGTCCAAGAGGGGTTTTGGCCTTTCATTCGAAGCCATTAATACCATGTAGCCAAGGGCCTTAAAGATGAGAAGATGTAATTCTTACACGAGGTCAGTACAAAGTATTATGAAAATTGAAATACTCATGGGCATTAAAGATCCATGTTTTTGCATTGAATCCATTAGAGGGAGGGAGTTTAATTTTCATGGTTTCAAGGAAAGGGAAATCAGAAGTGGACATCGACTATTGTTGGGAGGGGAAATGGGCGGCTGATCCTAGGATGCCAATGGAAGGAGGCGGTTTTTGATGTATTGGATGTGACAACCGGTCAATGCAAAGGCTATCGAGGGGCTTGTCCACAAAGCCTTTGAGGACATGTAATTGTTGTAAGGTTGTGCCAATGGAAGCGAATTGAACATCAGTTTGGTAAACAGATTTCTGAATTTTAGAAAACTGAGATTCTTGATGGGTTTGAAAAGATCGGAAAGCTCGGCCAAATTTGCATTCATCATCTTGCTCTCAACAAGAGTACCAATTGTTATACTTGACGAATTAAGAAGGATAAGATACTTTTTGAGTAGGTGTGGACTCCTAGAGAGTAGACATTAGATAAGTGAGAATCAGAGTTTTATTTCCTCAGATAAAAATTATAGTAGCGGAGTATATAAAGACTTGGCCGAACTGGTTTTCGACCTAATGTCTGAACCTTTTTTTGTATAAATTTATACAAAAGATAGAGTTTATTTCAAATAATAAAACCGAATGCTACTGAACTGATTTGGGATTCAGCTGTCAAGAGGTTCCCTGTGGCTGGGCGGTGGTTCCATTGGATTGCAGTTGTGTGGCAGTGGCTGCTGCAGTGGCTCAGTTGGGCTGCAGATGGGATGAAGTGCCTATTGTGGTGCACCGCTTTTTGCTCGTCTTCTTCAATGATATACACGAGTGTATGTATTGCTATTTATCAGGTTTTGGAGCCAATTTTCTCAATTGTTCTTGATTATTGTGGGGTTTAACTGAATAAGCCGTTGCGCAACACTCGCCTTGAGGCAACTTTAACGCCTATCTAAATAAAGATTGATTTACATCATGTTGGTTTTCAACGAGATGACACGTTAGTTAGCTTTTGTACCAAACTGAGAATTATAATAGGACATATTATTAGTAAAAATAAAGCACCATCTCATAAGAAAGTAATAAAGTTATTATACTTTTTTTTTCTTTCTAATTTTAGACCTTTTTCTTTATTCATTCTGAAGTTCTTGACATTAAGATTTATTTGAAATTAACAATAAGTATCAACTATTTTGATTTTGAAAGGATATACATCTGTGTGAAAGAAGCTTCTTTAGTTTTCGTTTTCAAGTTTGTTGTTTTGTTAGTGTAGTTTGCATTTGTTACTAAAAATCTATATGCATTGTAAGCATATATCTGAATTTTGTTTTCTTATTATAGCTAAACGCCCTTTTGCTAGGCATCCCCACTGTCAAATATTTTTAATCGGGTTTCTATTTTTTCAAGATTTCTAAGATGTTTTAATATTTTTTTTTGTGATATTATGCTAAAAATGTAACAAGATATAATAGACCCTTTCCCAACATATTGTCAGCCAGTCCTTAACCCCAAACTATAGCCATTATTATGTCAGTTAAAATTCCTTTTTTTTTCTTTTTGCAAGCCTATTAGATTGTGGTGCATATGGTGCAATATTCTTATGAATTATTACATTTCCTTCACGAAAGTATATGTTCTTTTCCTCGGTCAGATCTCCGAAATATAATTTTTTTAAGTAGTTTTCTTCTTCATTTTCTTACAGTTATAAACTTGCTCAACGTACATTTTTTACTAAATAAGCATAGCAAAATTTAATGCCTACATCAATAAATGCAATGAAATTTCAATTATCTCTTAGTAAAATGCCGTTCATTTCACATGGATTAGAATGAATTAATTCTAATTTCTCCTAGAATGAATTAATTCTAATATCTCTTAATCTCTTTATATGGACTTGAATGATTTTCTAGGTTGTTTAGCTTGATCAGATATTTAAGATTCACATGCAGTATACTATGATGCCATAAGTCATAGCATTCAATAGATAACGTAAGACCACACACAGATGAATTTGAATGAAAAACAGAGAAATATCTTCCATCACATTTAATTTATATGGTTCATCAGCCCCATAACATTTTCCTATAACTTCACCCTTAGGTGGAGATACCTTTTTGGAGTAAACACAATCTAGAAATTTCTACGCGGGAATTACCATTTCCTCTTCTGAAAATGTAACTGCTAGCAGATATGATGATGCTTGGGGAGTATTTGAAGCAATGGAAACCAATAATATTCAACCGGATCATGTGACCTGCTCCATTCTGGTTACGACCATGAGAAAAAGCGGTCGATGTGCAAAAGATGTTTGGGATTTCTTTGAACGCTTGAATAGAAAAGGTGTCAAATGGAGTCCAGAAGTTTCTGGTGCATTGATAAAAACCTTTTGTGACGAGGGACTAAAGAAGGAAGCCCTCATCATTCAGTCTGAGATGGAGAAGAATGGGATCACATCAAACGTCATAATATACAACACATTGATGGATGCTTATGGTAAATCTAACCAGATAGAAGAAGTTGAAGGCCTTTTGAATGAGATGAAGATGAAAGGACTAAAACCAACCACCTCGACCTATAACATCTTGATGGATGCATACAGTAGGAGAATGCAACCTGAGATAGTTGAAGATCTTCTTTTGGAAATGCAAACTTTAGGTCTGAAACCGAATGTGAAATCATATACTTGTCTCATAAGCGCTTATGGGAGGCAGAAAAAAATGAGTGAGAAAGCTGCAGATTCCTTCCTGAGGATGAAAGCTGCGGGAATCAATCCGACTTCTCATTCATATACTGCTCTTATACATGCATTTTCTGTCAGTGGTTGGCATGAAAAGGCATATAGTGCATATCAAAGGATGGAGAGAGAAGGAATTACACCTTCCATAGAGACTTACACAGCTCTGCTTGATGCATTTAGGCGTGCCGGTGAAACCAAAATGTTGATGGAAATCTGGAAAACGATGATCTTGAAAAAAGTTGAAGGAACTAAAGTCACTTTTTATATTCTTTTGGATGGATTTGCCAAGCATGGTCTCTATGTCCAAGCAAGAGATGTGATCTCCGAGTTTGGAAAGTTTGGTATCCAGCCAACTGTAATGACCTATAATATTTTGATGAATGCATATGCAAGGGGTGGACAACATTACAGGTTGCCGCAGCTGCTTAAAGAGATGGCTGCTCTAGAATTGAAGCCTGATTCTGTTACTTATTCAACCATGATATATGCATATCTACGTGTTCGCGATTTCACCCGTGCATTCTATTATCACAAACAAATGATTAGAAGTGGGAAAGTACCTGAAGCCAGCTCTTACCATAAACTGCGGGCTATTTTAGATGCGAAAGCAGCTACAAAGAACATAAGGGATAGAAGTGCCATTCTTGGAATAGTCAACAGTAAAATGGGTTTGAAGCCAAAAAAGGGTAAGAAAGATGAGTTCTGGAAGAACAAAAAGAGGCGGTCCATCATGAAAAATTTATCAGCCAATGATCGGTACTAACTAGCTTATTCTAGTGTCTTTGATGCACTGAAAAGATAATTGATATAGAGGATTTAGCTTTTCAAAAATTATTTTTTTCATTGGTTAGCGTATGTGAAGACAAGCTTTTATCGTCGGCTTAGCAGTTAGCCAAGTAAAGGGTATCAAGAAGGCTGTAATTTTTAGATTTTAATGAATGAAGTCCTTTCAGCTCGGCCACAATAGTGACTCATGTACATCTTGTGGCTTGCATGTGTACACTATGCATTGTTGGCAATTTCTGAGAGGTATTATTTCATGTATAGATCCTGTATGTAATTTCCATTTACTTATTAAATTAGTAGATAATTAGTAGATTTAGTCTTTCTTGATAAAAGCTATATGATATTGTCTTTAATTTTTTGTTAAACAGCCCAGGCAAGAAGTTCTGTAGTATTAATCTGTTGTATATGATTCATCTCTTCAAATGGATAACTCAGTAAGAAGTGGTAGTTTTTTCAAGATTCTAAGAATGGGTCTCTCAAATGTGTTCTGTTGGACAAATTGAGATGGCTACAGTGAACTTAGGCGTTCATTAGGAATTTTGGAACTTTTTATCTTCGTGTCCAAGCTTCATGATCTGAAGATAAATCACGTCAAGATCTGGACTTAAAACACAATGTAGACGTAGCATTCTTGAATGTGTTATCGCTTCCATCCTTATTAGTTTTAATATTTCTACTTCCTGATTTTATAGTCTGTCATTGATACCTTGGGATGTTCAGCTCGTCACATAAATTAGGAGTGGATGGGTAGGCAAATCTTTTTTTGTTTTATTTCTTCTCTATTTTCCTTGAAAAACAGCAAGACGACGGCTGTTTTCCTTCCAGAAGAGTTGGCAAAGCATTGTGCAGCTTCAGCAAGGCAGCGACAACAACACACACAGAGGCAAGGCCGGCGACAGCAACACACACAGAGGCAAGGCCATGGCGGCAGCGACAGCAGCACATGCAGGGGCTGGGCAACGACAGAAAACACACCAGGCAAGTTGTAGAGAGGCTTGTGTTCCAGGAGTTTTTATTGGGTGTGGAGTGCGGACGTAGCTCTATGTATGCAAACCTGTAGCTGACACGTGGAGCCCACCTTGACCCCACTTATCTGTTAAGCACGTGTATTTTTTTTACAGCGCGGCCCGACGACCCGAACCGCCCGAATAATTGAAAAAAAGCGCGGTCTGGCCCGATGGCCCATCATGATATGAATTTGTATGTCATTTCATTTCTTCGAGATGATCCGAAACATTGCTTCCAGTTTTACTTTTTCGGGCTACTTGATTTTCTACATTCATCCACAAGGAGAAGTTGCAGGCGATTATTCATCTTCTACACGAAGCATCTTCAGTCTTCATCGTCTAAATGGCCAATGTATGTTTTTTCTATAGTTATTTGTATTTATCACGTTTTAGGGTTGATAGTAGTATTTGTAATATGCTATCCTTTTTGCTCTGTAAGTTGTGTGGCTTGGGTAACGCTGGGTACCTCGAATGGGAATCGATGGGTACCGCTGGGTACCCAGCAGTACCCAACGGGGTACACTGAGTACCACCCCTTATGTTATTTTCGGAATGCATTGCAAGTTCTATTAGTTTTTCTAGTTCTAGGGTTTGTCGTTAGGGTATTTTTTATGTTGAGAGAACTGTTATGTATGTTTTTTTCCGCTTTGTTCCTTCTCAGAAGTTCTGGATGGAATTTTGGTACTGCTCGGTACCTCCAGGTGTTTTTAGGTACCGGTCAGTATCCCTCGGTACCGCTCCGTACATCACCTACACCCTCGAAACCCCCAAGCCCAATTAGCTCACCACCACCAAGCACCCAAAGCACGCCCCCCCCCCCCCCCCCCCCCCCCCCCCCCCCCCCCACTCACCTGGGCAGTAGCAACCCAACTCACCTGGGCAGCAGCAACCAACTTCCCCAACTGATGTACACCATGATAGCAGAGTTGAATACCTCCAGAAGATATTGGATCAAAATAAATTTCTTCAGAAAATGTTAGTAAGCCTGGAATCTACAACAACTTTGATTGAGCGAAGAATGGCGGTAGTAGAACATCATGTTTTTGAGCAGAGGGAGATGGATAAGAGATTCGAAGCTATGGAGAAGTTCTTATCTGAGAACTTCCCAACATTTAATCCCTTGTCGACTCCGGATGTACATGTTCAATCTTCTTCCAGGACTCTAACTGATGAGAATAAGAAAGTGGCGTGTGAAGGGGTGGATACAAATATAGTGGTCGTTGTTGAAAGTCCATTAAAACCCGATATCCCAATCAACGCAACACATCTAATCTTCCTGCTGATGTCAATGATGCTGCCAAATCTAATTCATCCAGCACAAGCATAACAAGAAGGATGAGAAGCAGGGTAGACCATAAAGCAAAAGAGGTAAAGACACCATTCAGCACGGGGCAATATAAGAGAAAGGTCATAAAAAAAGTTGCTACAAGGCCTTCCCCATCAAAGACAGCACTCACAAAAACTCTAATTGATGTAGATACTCAAAATCACCCCAAGCAAGACCAGCTCCACCAAAAATTGATTATCCTGGGAGTGCAATGATAAATGATGAGATGAGGATGTTTATTGACAATTGCCTTGAAAAGTATACTGATAAGTAAGTCTCAAACTTCGACTGTACCGCTAGGTACCGCCCGGTACCACTGGGTACTAGTCATTACTGCTAGGTACCTCTCGGTACTTCTGGGTACTGATCATTACTTCCAGGTACCCCTCGGTACCGTTCGGTACTGCTAGGTACTAACGCTCATTTAAAATTCTGCTGATGACCTCTTATATTTTGCAGGGGAGATACTATTTATACTGCAGGAAACATTCATATTTTCAGAAGTCAGATTGATGCCTTTGCAATTTTGATAGCTGAGAAGAATAAACTTCGTCCTGACCTTTATCAACCATTTATTTTTGTTTCTAGTTTGCATTTGGGTAATATCGTTACTTCTTATTCTATAAATATATATGTTTACAGTTCTCCTAATAAGATTAAACATACAGGGTTCCACAAAATTTATGTTAGACAGTAAACAATATGTATCTCACGTAACCAATGATATAGTAACTGCTTCAAATTTCATTATGCTGCCAATACATGATAACCAACATTGGACACTTCTGGTTGGTGATTTGAAGAAGTCAACTTAGCTTTTCTTTGATTTGTTGCCTAACCCGATGCATCGGGTTGTGCTCCCAAATGTTGTAAGTGAAGGGTTAAACATTATAGGTTTGATGTATCGATTCGTAGATACTAACAAGTTAACTTTAATTGCATATAAATCATTTATACGAGGAAACTGAAAACAATTTTGAAAATGATATAAGATCATGGCCAGTCACGGTTGCTGATGGAATTCCAACTCAAACAAACAACTACGATTGTGGGATACTCATTTGGAAATATATGAAAACTGTAATCCTTCCACAATATGTTAAGTGGGAAGAACTTTTAAACTGGCAAGCTAAATTGCCTAATTATAGATCGGAACTTGCATTCACATTGTTATGTTCAACTCTTAAATGAATGATGATAATAGAGTAGACATTGTAACATTGTAAATAGTTTAAGTACATTAACAAATTTTACTTCTTAAGCAAATAATAAACACGTTGTTGGAGTTGAGTTTATATAGGACAACATCCAAACTCTATCATAAGCTAAAATTGTAAATATTGCCAATCACTGATTTCCAAGAACTTCTTTCGCTTAGGTCCATGCACATATTGCTTTAGTAATTGTTTATATAAATCTACTAAAAACCTTTCTTCGACTGGATCCCAAGGATGGTAAAGAATAACATTTCGAACATCACTAGATCGTCTAACCACATAATCAGAGCTTGATGCTTTGCCTTTACAAGTTAGCTCATGATGACGCTTTTGTAAGAAATGAATACTGGCAAGGTGATGATGATTTACAAAAAAAATATTTTGGACACATTTTCAGCCTTCAGCATTTAAGAAACATCATGATCTATTTTCCTTATTAGCCATCTCTTCTCTCCATGCAACTTGAAGCAAACGATCACAACGATCATGTCATGTATGAACACAACATCTATATATATTTCATTTTGTCTTGCTTGTTGCTCAAGATGACAGCCAGCAACCACAACCATGCAGTCATGTATTCTAGTTGTGGCAAGCTCAACAAAATCTTTCATCGGCATGTCTAGATGCAGTTTAGCATCCGGCCAACGTAGTTTATAAACCATAAGAGAAATATGTAAAAAAAATAGATGAATAGCCTCAACTTTTATAGCTTTTAATTTCAACAAACATAGTGAATATCACAACAACCCATCTTAATTACGTGAACCACTACAACTAGCAACTTTAATTTCATTATTTTGGCATTCTGGTATGTTTTGAAAAATAATTTGACTAATTGGTTCTACAGGTGTACACTGTTCAGTTGAAGGAGTAGGTTGTTCCTCAGCTCTCTTCCTCTTAGGTTTTCTTTTCTCCCAATGACTCTTCAACCTTGCATTAGAAATTCTTTTGGGCCTGCATTTTATAGGGTCTTTTAATTTTTTTGGCATGCTTGAATTCGTAATAAAATCATGGTCCTTCTTGGCATTTAGTATCAAATCTACATTCTCAGCAATCTCAGATATTGCATCAATCATGTACTGTTTTGCTTCCTCATTCCCTTGCCCTCTTGTGCATATTTGATATGCGAATCTAGTGAAATAATTTCAGAGCATCATACCTCCTAAGCCATTCGAGGGGGTACCTTTAGCTACTATAGATGTTATCGGCCTGTCAGAGTAAAGGTTTTTTCTAGCTCGAGTTGACCATCTCTTTAGTAGATATTTCGGATGTATATTAATTATATCAACATGCCTTATTACTCTTAAGCAGTGAGAACATAGTATGCCTATCATAGTGAATTTTCCACAGTTGCATTCAATTGTACCCTCTTCATCATCAAAATTAACAGTCCAATGGCGAGTTTGATCAATGTTGTCAACAGTTTTGACAAAAAATGTTGATAAATTGCTTGAGGCATGAGCTATGCACATCCCACCCACACCTTGTAAAAACTCTTCCTCAAAGAAAGAATACAATTTACGCGAATAAAATCGTGCAGCCTGCCTAAGAATTGGACTACTCTTAACTAAAGGTACATCGGACTGGCTGCATTTGAAATTTTCATCATGTTCATTCTGACGCCATGTCTTCATCACCATCTCTAACCCCAAAAAGCAGTCAGTTATGCTATTCGTAGGCTTTGAAATTTCGTGGCACACATTGTTAGTGGATTTGCTACGTTGTGTTGAAAGAATACCAAGGTTAAAACAACTCTTGTTGT